CCCATGGCGGTGACACCCTCCCCCTCCGGTGTTGCAGCTACCAGAGGTTCGCAAACTGCTACCGCGGCTTCTACAAGCTACAGCCCGAGATGACCAGGAGCATTTACGATCAGTTTATATCCCAGCTGCAGACGTCCATCAAGGTGAAGCAGACCTTTAGGGGCTGGGGGGTGTGCGTGCCTTCGGAGGGGCTTCCAGCCCTCGGTGTAAAAGCGCTGAACACGTTGATAATTAAGGGTAGCAAACACATTTCTTGAATGGCGAAACCAGAAGGTTAAGACTGTTCCCCAGAGATTCTTCCAGACCACTTTGTCTTCCCCAGAAAGAGCTGTAGAAACATAGAATCCTTTATGTTGGAAACGACCCTCAAAATCGTTAGGCCCAACCGTAAACCTAACACTGCCAACTCCATCACTAGCCCATGTCCTTAATTACCATGTCTACACATCTTTTAAATATCTCTAGGACTGCTAACTCAATACTTTGTGATTCCCAGGATGTAGCCTTTATCCAGGGAAAAGCAAGGGCTCACAAGCAGAATGATGCCTTCTGAATCCCTGTGGCGTCCTTCCTTTGCAGGAGGAGATCCAGGAGGTAAAGGATGAAGGGAACCTGGAGGTGCTCTTTAATTCCCTGGATAAAATCGTGGAGGAGGCAAAGAACCAGGAAGAGCCTGCGTGGTATGGATGGTCTTGTGGAAGGCAGTCCGGAGAGTGTGTGTGTGTGGAGACATGTTCCTTCAAGGGCGAAAGTCAGTTCCCTTGTGATGTTTTGGTCGTGTTGATGTGTCCTGTAAGCCTTGTGCTGCACGGGAGTTTTTTAAACTTCATGTATCTTAACAGCAATGTCATTGCATCTGAAACATCAGAATAAGTTTTATTTATGCTTCTCTAGGTCATGTATCTATCTGTGCTTCCTCGCTGCAAGGAGGAGGTTAGTGCCGTGGAGACCAGAGGGGAGATAAACAAACTCAATTCCGAATAATTCAAAAGGCTGATGGCATGTTTTAGCCACAGCTACTGGTCTGATAGTAGAGCTCACATCAGCGCTTCTTGTTGGGACTCAGCAGGCACTGGAAGTTGTACACGCTGCCTTTTGTTTGCCCAAAAGGCAGGCTGGGTCTTTTAACCAAAATCGTCATCACGATTTCTTGTTTCTGTGTTTGGGGAACTTAATTACATCCTGCCTGCCTCCAGGCCTGAACTGACAGCAGAGTTTTGGGAAGGACTCCTCCCGTCCTTCATGTACGGCATTAGGGGGCTGCGCAATGGCTGCCCGTTAGACGCGCACGTTCTCGCTGTCCTCAAGCATCCAGTGCCAGAGGTAAATTGCCAGAGTCGGTGAGCTGATACGTTACGGCAGCAGCTCATCTTCCAGTTGAGGTGCGTGAGGCTAATTGCTCTACAAGATTATTGCTCTCTGGTTACTTCACATCCCAGTTTGTTCCCAGGCGTCCCAGTGGGATCCCGGAAGAGGACATTCGCAGCGCTATGGTGCCGTACCTCCTGAAGCACAGGTCGTACTTGCAGAAAGTCCTAAAGGAGAAGGAAGAAGAGAACAGGAAGGTAGCGGAGTCTGTGCTTGCAGGGAGAGATAGGATTGCAGAGCTGCAGCAGCTGATACAAGCACGCAAACATGCCTGGCAGGTAAAAATAAAAAACAGACAAATAAAAATCCCTTCTCTTTGCAGCATCAGCCTGAACGAAACACTATTCTGTGGCTTGACTAGCAAATGGCTGCTCTATATTTAAGCCGTCCACTTGTCAAAGGCCTCACCAGGAGCCAAATACTGCTGAAATTGGCCTGGGAGGCCTGGGCATTTTCACTGGAGATCTTGGATATTTTTCCCTGTGCGCTGGGTGGGATGTTTCTGTGGGTGAGCATGTGGGATCAGTGGGTTGTATTCCATACATGCTGGGGATGGCCGCGACGCTCTGTTTTATATCAGCCTGCTTTGTGTCCTGAACGCTGGCATCTGTGGAGAAGAGCACTTTGCTGAGTTCAGTGGTGGCTGTTTTCCTTCCAGGCAATTAGTAAAGAGCAACAAGAACTCATCATGACATTCAAGGAGCCCCAGTGAGGCTGCGGGGAGATTCTGCATGTTTCGCAGGAGGAGTTTATCCTCATCTCGGAAGTGCTAACAACGCGGTGGGGAGTGGGACTCTGTGCGTGGCGTACTTGCGTTCATCTTGTCAGGCCAGAAGAAACTTGCAGCAGGACTGAAAAGCTGCTGGACATGCACAATTCGATCAAAGTTTGTGAAGAAATAAAAAAGAACACATCAGGATCTTTGGAAATACATGACTATTTCCTATTCCCTGCTCATCTCAAGAGGGAGGAGGGTCCTGCAGATCTGGTAGCCAGAGCACATCTGTATGCTCACACACTGCTTCAGCGCTGTGACGGGCATGATTCTAGCTTACTAAAGCCAAATTTGTAGCCTTGAAGGTATTTCAGATGTGCGTTAGAGAAAAATTGGTGCCTTATGCACAGAGGTTGTGCTGTGCGCAGAAGTGAGGAGCCAGGGAGCTGCAGCACATGAAGCCCACAGTCAGGTAAATGCTACCGTGGCGTTTTGTACAGCGGGAGTGTAAATAGCCACATCGGACTCTTCTTCTGCCACATTTTTGCAGTGTTCGTTTTCAGTGTCTGTGTCTTTAAACAATTCTCCACCCGTGCCCCATCAGAACAGACATGTCAGCAGCTGCTTTATCACAAGTTCGTCGTTGCCTTTTATTCTTTTTGTCCAGTTATTTTCCAGCCCTGCCCCTCTCCCAGCAGATACACACTGAGGGCGCTTCTCTGAGGACTGCAGTGTGAGGGACCTGGGGACGTGCCCTTCGTGTGTGTGGAGATGAGCAAAAGTTAGGAGGGCCCTGCCTCGACTTTGCGGGCAAAGGGATTTAATGTTTTCCTATGAAACCTCCACGCTGACTCCTGGAACCAAATTGGGTTTGGTTTTAACCATCTGGAGTTGTTGTTTACTGTCTCATCAGATGTTTGCCAGCCAGGGAAGCGGGGACTCACTGGAGTCTGTGCCGGGGCTATGGTGCAGCCCTGCAAGTGAAGTTTATCTTCAAGATGAAGAAAAGGCTGGGCAGATAATGAGGAGAGTCTTGCTGAGCCTGAGAAGGACTGCTTGTGAGTCTCTTTCCAACAGACACCAGATCTGTCAAGGGCAGCAGGTTCTCTGGTCACCTGTCATCCTCCTCGCCTGTTGTGCCCTTCGGCTGTTAGTACGTGCTGTCCCAGGGAGAGGCTGTGCCCTGTGTGGTGGGGAAATACAAATTCTGAGCGCAACAGTGGTGATTTCCACCAAGCAGGAGCCTCTGTTTTCAATTAGAGGGAGCCAGAGCCTGCGATTGACTGACTGAGGCATATTTTCCTTCTGTCGTAAACAAGCCTTCCCTCACTGCATTATAATCTAAATAAATTAGAGCTGTTGTTCCCCCGGTCTTGGCTCCTGCTGTGTGCGCTTGGCCCGTGTACTCTATAGTTTACGGGTTTGTTTGACAAAGGCTCTGGCTTCAGCATTTCTCTCCTCCTCCACCCCAAAGCCTCCGGTTCCGCTTTTCAAGACAAGGCTGGATTTATAGGATCTGAAACTCTGGAAAGTGGTCAGGATCCCAAAAAGGAATGGCACCCCAGGCAGCCCTGGGAGCTCCCGCTGCCCGGAGCCCTCCTGGAGTTAAATAGGAGCAAACTCTGGAGGTGGGTGAGCACCCTCAGCACTGCTGGGGTCTTGTGGAGAGTAGGAAGTAAAAGGATGAACAAGAGATTCTCCTTCTCCAGCTGCCCCACTCCCCTTCACCTCTGCTGGGTGCCTGAACCACACCAGCAGCACACTTTTTGTTCTTGCAAAGCCCTGTTTTGGGGTTTGAAGAGGTACTGGACCTCTTTCTGGGTCCTGGTTCTGGGAACAGGCGCTGCCTGGGGCCCAGCCCTGCCACGCAGCATCTGCCCCATGGGATGTGGTATTGGAGAGCTGCAAGGGCACCTGCTTGCCCTCTCAGCCTGGGTCCTGGCAGTCGGCCCCGGCAAGGGGCTGTGATGATGGTGATGCCGCGGAAGGAGCACGTGTTGGTCCCCAAGGCAAAAATTGGCCAACGAGTCCCTGTTGGCCCTGCGCAGAGAGGAAAACCCTCTTTTGGCAAGAAACTCTCCTAGTGCAGCAGCTACCCTGCTGGGATCCAGCAGTGGGAACCGGGACAGACCAGTCAGTGACTGGGGAGTGCAGCAAGGAGTCCCACCAGGGCCCCAATCTCCCATCCCAGTTAGGGGCTGGGGGACTGGGTGCTGCCAGGCGGCAGGGCTGGGCCCACCAGCAAATCTCCACTGGCCCAGGGCTGCGTTTCCCTCCCTGTGGGCTCTGGCTGGTCACGGGGGAACCGAGTTCACCCCAAACCACAATTGCTGCCTGTGCTGGCAGCTCCCGGCCCCGGCGGATGTGCTGGAAATAGCCCTGACGGGGCTGCGGGCCCCCTCCTTGACAGCGGTCGCAGCACCCTATAAAGCCACTCGGGGACCAGGGGCTGCACCGAGCACAGCGCCCACGCGGAGAGGCACCATGAGGCCCCTCATCCTGCTGACCCTCCTGGCCCTCCTCACCCTTGGGCTGTGCCGCAGAGGTATGGGGTGTGCGGGGAAGGGGTGGGGACAGGCTGGGGGGACCATGCCCCGAGAAGGGCTCTGCTGTGAGCTGGAGGGAGCAAAGGGGGTTGGAGGGAGGTTTGCTGAGCCTTGGGGTGGAGGATGTGGGGCTGGAGCAGGGGAACAGGGATCAGGACTCCCTTTGCCAGGCTGGGGGCTCTGGGCGAGGAGGGGTCAGAGCAGGGGCAGGGGCTGAAAGCCCCAAAAGGAGGAGCAGGGTGAGGGCACAGCCTGCACGGGGCCTTCCCGAGCCCACCGGCTGCCCCCACCGCCCCGCGCCATCCCCCCCAGCGGC